GAGGAGCGATCATGGAGGAGCGATAACCGAGGAACCACCAGACCATCCTCCGATGAAATCCTCAGATACTCGCCCCGCCCCCTTACTGTGTATCGCTCACTGATTGGACGATGCAGTGCATGCACTGATCTGATGCTTCTTGACATGAGAGCAGAGTGAAGAAAATACATGAACCTCACGGGAGTCACTCCTCAGTTTATACCGTGTTTTGTTTCAATTCATGTTTCATTTAGTTACAAATATGTGAAATATCTGAACAACAAAGTGGGCAAAAATCATTTAATTCATTTGTTGGAAACATTTTCATGATCGCTTTTTTCGTTTTACATTTTCATTTATTGTCATTTCCATTCAGTCATTAAGTGCTATTAAAATGTGAATGTGATATCCACACAAACACACAAAGTGTGCAATCCAATGAATGTTAATCTAACTGGGTTTTGATAGATAACATATCTCTTTTTCTTCTCTCAATTATTTTATTTCTATTGTGCACTCTAATCAATATTAATCCAACTATTGTTCGTTTAAATACATTTTAAGAATGGCGTTTATCTTTTTTGAGAATTAGTTCTTATTTATATTTTATGTATTTGGGTCTACAACAGATGATACAAATGTTTGTGTCAGTAAATGTGTACTAACCATAGACTGTATATATAAATGGACGTAGGGTCCGTGACGTCACCCATAGGATTCTGCAGAGTTGCCGTGAAGCCCTTAGTAGGCGGAGTCGGCCACTAACGGCTCGACGGTGTCGTCAGAGTCTAACTCCCGAATTCTCCCGCCTTCTCCAAATAAGGGCAAAGAGGCGGAGCCGAGGCGGGACAGGGCGGGACCTGCTGCCAACGAGCGTGACGTTCGAGTCCTAGCTCAGGCTAAGAAGCTAAGCTAACATGCTCTCAGTATCAATCGAATGTAAAACATGATTGATGAAAGTAGTAAATCGGTCAGATTTGACCCGAAGACAACAGGAGGGTTAATGCCATATTCACTTAGTAATGCATGAACAACTTTTACAAATATTTCTATATAGTCTGTGTCAGTGCTGGAATTGGGCCGGTACTCACCGGTACGCAGTACCGGCACTTCTGGTTCTGACCCATGGAGTACCGGCACTTCTTGCTCAGTACCGGCATGCTGGCGGTACTCCGGTACTCATGCACCGTGCCAGTACTCAACACTCTCCCGCCGTTCTTATTATACATCCATATATATATATACAGCCGCCCGGTACTCAGTAGATGCGTCATGAGGTGCCGAACGGACATTCTCATCGCTCTAACCGCTGGAGTTTCACAGCGGCTGTCAGCTGTTTACTCCTGTCATTCAAACAGAACGTGCTGGAGAGGGGGCGGGGCTTATCTTCTCCATGTAAATACTGTGGTGGAAACGACTATGTCAAAATTAACCTATTTGACCGTGATTTAATAGTAATACACGTTTCAAAATAATAATAATAATAATGCCGAAGTAACAACATACTGAAAACTGTTAGTAAAACCATGTTTTAATGCTTTACAATTTACATACCTAGATGCACGTGTGTTGTGTTTATGCAGTGCAACTCCCACCCAGTGGGTGGCTATGTAGAGTGATAGAACAGAGCAGGCACGCCCCCGAGAGAAGGAAAGCAAGTCACGTCACAAATTAGCATTTCTAAAATGTTAGGGTGGATTAATAAAAGTGCAAAAAGACAGCTGTTGTCGCCGGAAGAAACTTCAAATACAGAGAATGTTGTGCCTGTGTTGGAAATTGTGTCTGATGGGGAGCTTTCTTTGGTTGATCCTCCTGCTCCAAGTTCTAGTGCATTAGCATTAGCACTAGCTCCGCCGCCTCCTCCAGAGCCTCTAACGTTAGCTGCTGCTGGCTCAACTGCCACCACCAACACCGGGCAAAGCGATGCACCTGACTGCTGGACAACGGACCAGGTGCAATATTTTTGCAAGACCAATGCATGGCTCCTTCTTAAAGATAAGAAGCTAGGATGTCGGATATGCAGAGATGTCAAATCTTTGGGAATACACACTGGACAAGGACTGAAACTGTCAACTGAATGGGGTGAGTGTGCAGTGTCTCATTTCGGTGTTGACAAGGGCAAACAACAAGCTAGCCTGAGAAAAAAAATCAAAGAACATAAAGAATCACAAGCCCATGTAAAAGCTGCTGACATCCTTACATCTGCTTCACGTGAAACTATTCAACATCAAGTGCAGTCTATGCATAAATCTGAATTAGACACCACTATCAGAGTTTTTCGAACGGCATATAAAATTGGCAAACATAGCCGGCCATTCACAGACAT